CTGGCAATGGTGGTGCATATTTCTCTGTGGCATCTAGAGGGACAATTTTTGGTTAAACAAACTTCTACGAATACCCTTGAATAAATGTGAGAAGACGCTTTCAAAATCTGTAAATAATTCTCTAATCGTGTCTGACCTATAGTGCATAAGATTCCTTTTTTTTTTTTTTTAAGTGACCAGAACAGCCGTGCATGCAGATGGGGGGGTGGGGGCGGGAGCACTGAGGGTGCACGTCCCGACGCCAATGTGGGTGAAAGCGGGCACCCGAGGCCTCGCCCCTTACCACTTCCTTCTCTCCTGAGAGCACCTTCCGTGAAAAGCGCAGTTAGTATGGGAAAGTGAGATTTGCATCTGAAGATAGTGGTGTCTCTTCTGATTAGGAGAAACATTTCTCCTAGTTATAGAGAAAGCAGCACTTTCCCCCCATTCAGATCTAATGATCACGTGAGAAGTGCCAGGGACACAGAAGCGCCAGACCAAGAGCCATCTGTTCTTCCCCGGCGTCTCCAGTCACTCGGAGCGAGGCTGGCGGTGGCTGAGTGGCTTTGCTGAAAAGCAGGACGGGAACCAGAATGTGGGCGCCTAACAGACTGTGAGCCTCAGTGCCCTCGATGGGAGTGATGGCAGCCTCTGCCCTCCAGAGGCCAGTGGGCCACGTCCTCTGAGGACTGGGCACCTTCAGGTGGATGGTTCGTCGCCTGTGCACCTTAGGCGATGGCAGTAGATGGGGGCTGGGGTTCTTGGTGATTTTCGTTTTTCCTTTATAAACCACCTTCCTGAGAAGCTGCATCCAGCTGCACAGGTGTGCTGCCTGTTTCTCCTTGGAAGACACCTGTGTCAGTCCCCTCGCCTCCCGCCCTCCTGGCCCAGGTGAGGGTGGGGAGGCCCCACAGCGGTGCTGGCTGCCCCCTGGGTATATGGAGACAGAGCACTGAGTTTGCAGGCTGGTGTCACCTCTGGCCCTGGGTGTTGAGTCGATTTGCATCTGCACTTCCTTCGCCTCCCAGGTCAGCGGTTCCCCCTCAGGGAGGCCGTTTCGGTCAGTGCGCCCAGTGCCCTGACCCTCATCGCACACCCCGGTCATGATCTGCTAACCTGTGAGACCGGCCCCGTCCCCCTCTTCCTCAGGAGGCTCCATCCGCCTGGGCAGAGGCTTTAAGGATTCCATCCTCCCTTTGCCTCCCCAGTGCTTAGGAAAGTGCCCGGCACGGAGCAGATGTTCCAGAGGTGTTTGTGAATGACGCGTGCTGGCTGTTCGTTCTCTGTGAGCCTCTGCGTGCGTGAGTGTCACACGCCCACTGCAGTGCTCGCCTGCCCCCTCGGGGCTCTGGGATTCAGCGTGGCTCAGGTGCTTACCCCAGCTCTCCACCTGCCTCGTCCCTCGCTTACTCCTCCATCCAGAGAACAAGTGTTAGTACTTGTGTGCGTGTCTACACGTGTGCGTATGCTTTAAAAAGGTCATCCTCAGAGGACAGTGGTTGAGGGTGGAAACAGAGAGACTGCTGCAGTAACCTGTGCCAGGCGTGACAGCGGCCCGGCTAGGAGGTGAGGATGGTGTGGCCACCATCTGGATCCATATAGAAAGCAGAGCCCCTGGAATCAGTAGGTGGTTTGGACATGGGTGATAGAAAGATATGGCACAGGTGACCCCAGGCCTAACCTGCTGGAGAGACAGCGTCCTTTGCTGAGCTGGAGACCTTGGGGGGACCGTGTGTTGATGTCGATGGCTCAGGAGAGAAGAAAGACTTCTTTCGTGAACCTTGGACGCTGTATCTTGTGCAGGAGGCCGCTCTTTCCCACGGGTATCTGTGAGGCAGCCCTGTGGTCCTCTGCTGCTTTTGTAAATAAAATAGGCCTTGTGCTGTCACGGATCAGCCATAGTACAGATCTGTTTCTCTAACTAACGGAGCAGGTCGGTGTCCACTGATTTATCTGTGTATTTCCGGACTTAGCTCTACCATTCTGATTATATATCAAGTCCGTGGCATTTTCATATCTGGCGGGTCAAAGGCTTCATAACTAGCCTTTTCCAAAAACTTCATGGCAATTCTCACGTACTTAGCTTTCTATATCAACTTTAATATCAATATGTCTAATAATTCCTCCAAATATACATTGAGGTTTTTATCTGAATTTTATTAAATTTATTGTTAATGTGAGAAAGGTTTTCTCTTTTGAAATGGAGTCGTCACATCTATGAATGGAGTGCAATCTCTCCATTTATTCCAATTTCTTTATCTAGGTCTTGTACCTTTTATATGAAATTTATCCCAAGGGACTCAATAGCTTTGTCATTAATGTGAATTTGGATTTTTTTCACATTACGGTATCTAACTAGTTATAATAACTATAAAAAAAACCAGAATTGCTTTTTTTTGTATTTTTAGCTTGAATCCAGCCACTTTCATAATTGTACTGAGATTTTCTAATTGTAGACTCATATTCACAAGTAATAATAGATCTTTGTTTTTCAACATTTATAGTTTCTTTCATTTTCTTGTCTTGTTTCAAAAGCTGGAGCCTCTAAAAATGTGGATAGCAGATCTGACAGTGAGGTGCCTAGCTTGTTTCCGACTTTATGGAAATGCTTTACTGTTTCGCCCACTTAATATGTGCCCAGATAGCACCTGATATGCTCATCTAGGATGAGAGTATTACCCCTAGGATGTTTATTTTATTTCTGTGGAGTTTATCGGTTTTAGTCTATTCTGAACTGTTTTTGTCGGGGATGGTTACTGAATTTTGATAAGACTCTTTTTTGCCATCTGTTGACACGTGACCTTCGCTACCATCAGGGACTGATTGTACTTGGAATTAACCTTAGGTGATCCTTGGTATGTCATTTTTAAATATGGTGCTAGATATTCCTAATGGGTTTGTTTTTTTTTAATGTCTTTGCATTAATATCTCTAAATTAGATTGGTTTATTTTTCCTTTCAGGTCTGTTCTTTATCATATTTTTATGTTCAGTATTAGGGTAATTTATAATGAATTGGAATACTATCTCTCCTTTTCTGTGTTCTGGAATAATTTGACTAATGTGAAAAGTTATATATTATTTAAAAGTTAGATATAGCTGGCCTTTAAGATCTTCTAGGCTTGATACCTTCGTAAATGATAGGTGGTCAATCTTTGAACAGCTTTTTCGGTTGCTTTTATGTTAACCTGTCTATTTAGCCCTTGTCTAGTACCTAAGTTAAATTTAGTCATCTATATTTTACTAGAAAACGATTCAGTTTCCTCTGGAGTTTATAGCACACTAACCTAATCTTGCCTATATACCACTGAGAATTTTCCCATATCTGTTGTTAGAATAATATTGTTCCCAATTTGCTTTGTGTTCTAAGATTTTCAAAGAGCGCTCACACGCATCACTTCGTGTTTATCCGGGATGGATGAGGGTGCTGAGGGCAGAGGGCTCACGTGGCTTGCGTGGGGCTGCACAGCCAGTGAGAGGCAGAGTCCAGACTCAGACCCAGGACTCCGACCTTCGCCGGTGGACTCGTCCACCTGCGTTCTCTCCAGTGTTGTCCGCCGGGGGTCCCGTCTTCTTTAGGTCCCAAGGGTGTGGCAAGTGTCTGACATCCCTTAGAGTGTTTATGGGAGTAGCCGTGTGCGTAGCTGTGGGAACTACATTTTCAACTGTCTGAAATGTGTAAGATGCATCAGTGATACCGCTCTTATTTTATAGAATGAGAAAAGAAAGGCGTTCGTTTACTTTGCAAATGGCTCCGAGTAGACATCGTTAGAAGCTTCTGTTAACTGTTGGGTGGCGGAGGACGTGATGCATGTGTGTGTTTCCATTTTTGAGAAAATTCCCATCCTGTTTGATACACGTTCATAAAGCAACACTGTGCTCTGCCCTGAAGAATAGTAACATGTCATACATCTATTGCTGTGCATTTGCTGAAAATGAATCATGACCGAGTTTTAATACTAGTTGGGGGTTAGATGTGGTAATAGGTAAGGTCTTAGCACAGTGCCGGCACACCGTAAGAGCTATTATCATAGCTCACAGTCACAGAGGGCTTCGATGTGGAGAAACCCAGTGTTTCTCAGAATACACCAGGAACAGGTCAGCTTTCATGCATTGTCACCCGTGGGTTCTCATGGAGCCCAGTCGCCCCCAGGATAGACACAGAGATCCTTGTCATTATCGGCATCCACCAATGATCACTAAGTACCTTTCCCTCGCCTGCTATTCCTTTCATCCCGTCTGTCCACCCTTGTGATTGCCGGAGGATGCTGAGCATGGACCGCAGACCTCCTCAGGCCCCTCCTAGCTCACCTTGCCACGAGCCCTCTTGCCCCCGCACACGCCTAAATGCGCACTGAGAAGGTCCTCTCGTGCCCGTCCTTCCTCGCCCCTCTTCCTCCTCCCCGAGCCCAGCGGTCCCTTCCCCTGGCTCCCCAGCACCACGGACAGCGTCTCGAGGCCCAGATAGCGCTTCCCAGCACCCGGCAGAGGCAGAGAAGGCTAGAGCATCACGCCCCGGGATCAGATCCCTGTGGGTCGTGAAAAGTTCCAGACTGAAGGGAGCACTTAGCCAGGAGTGGCCTGCAACCTCCTAACAGAACAGTCCTCACAACTGCCTTCCAGGTTCTAAGTGCTGCGAGTCAGCGACGTCCAGAAATGACCGCAGCTCACGTCTATATCCCTGCCGGTTCCTAGCCACGCAGGGCTGGCTGTCGCTCTGCGTTTGTTGAATGAAGAAAAGACGGCTGAAGGAGTGAGCAGATGAGAGCAAAGGCGTGCCCTCCCAGGAGGGGCCTGGCTCAGCTCCTTGCCCTGCAGGGTGGGACTCACTCACTCTCTCCCCCTTACGGCAAGTAAATCCGAACCTGTGCTCGGATCCTGTTTAGACCTACATCTGGGCCGTGTCTGTCTCCATCTCGGATTCCTTGCGAAGCTGGGCCTCTCGGGACCCGCCCTGGGCCCAGAGCCAAGAGCTGAGGCGTTATTTATTAAATGGACCCATTTTCCACTCTCTGTTTCCCAGACTGCTGTGGAGTGGGCTGAGAAAATGCCCAAAGGCCCGCCACCCGAGTGTCCCAAGGACGCGGCAAACCTAGAGATCCTGGCCCTGCTCCATAAGGCGGTGACATCCCGTTACCATGCCATCGCCCAGGAGTTTGAGAACTTTGACACCATGAAAACGAACACCGCCTCCAGGGACGAGTTCAGAGCCATCTGCACGCGCCACGTGCAAATCCTCACAGATGAACAGGTAAGGATGCGTTTGGCTGAGCGCCTGAAGCCAGCGGGCCGGCCCCTCCCCAGAATGCAGTGTCTAAGACTGTTCTTTATTGTAAAAATACTTGGAGGTTTGGGGGCAGGGGATTTTTTTATTGTTCTGTTTTGTTTTAAAACTTGCCATGGACTCACAGGAGCCATCTGTTTATAGAATAGGTATGAATCGTACCTTTTCAATCAGAGCAGCAGAGGGAATGTCCCCAAAGCAGGAGCAGCGAAAACGCTCCATAGGTTGGAGCTGCTGTCAGCGGCCAGCAGCACAACAGACACACCCTGCCTCTGGGGCCTGTTCGCTTTAGGGGCAGTAGCAAAATAAGGGCACAGGCATACGTGGGATGGTGGTAAATGCTACAGGGGCAAAAAATAGCAGGAAAGAGGGCCGCGATGGGGAACCGGGGAGGCCGCGCTGCGAGCTCGGCAGTGAGGAAGGCTCCTCAGAAGGGGACACCTGAGTAAACACCTGGGGGGCGGGGGGCTGGGAGCGGAGGAGCCTGGATCCTGGATAGGTTTCAGGTTGGAGCCAACGGAGTGTGCTAATGGATGTGTGGGGGAGGTGGGGGGAGTAGAGGATGGGGGCGGGAAGGAGAGAGGCACGATAGGGCTGGGGGGCTGGGGTGCAGTGCAGGGGGGAGGCAGCCGCCGGGGGTTCCGCCGATGGTTCTGCCCCCACTCACAGCCTTTGTCCCTGTCGACCTCGTGGCTCGCTTTTCGTTTACTGCTCTTTCAGGAAATAACAAACCTGACGGCTTCTCTATTTCATCCTCATTCTTAAAATATAGTTTGACTGCAAATCTATAATTGTTTTGAAATAAAAGTAAAAAAAAAAAAAAAAAAAGGAATGAAGAATATTGTTCCAAACTAAACCTTTTCCCTTCTCAGAGTCTGGAACTTCCTCCCTCCCTTCCTCGCCCCTTACTATTTCTTTTCCAGAATTTTAAATAGAGCCAGACATGGTCCCTTTCAATTTGCGTTTGGAAATCCTCAGTGGAGCCCAGAAGTGACTTCAGTTTCTGGCCGAGGCCGGGTGCACCGGGAAGGACAGGAGCCCCTCCCCCCCCACACACACACACACCCGGTTGCTGGTCGGAGGCTGCTGCTCCCCGGCACATGCTGAGGGCCGGGGCTCTGCTGGACCTTAGGGGCTATAAAAAACTAAATTGGAAATAAGTTATCATTCTTCTCGGCTCCCTAAAAGCCCCGAAGTCATCAAAAGTGGCTCATTTTGGATGCATTGGGTCATTTTCCCGTATCCTGCTGCATATGGTTCGGACACAGCCGTGACATCAGACAGCACCAATACGAAGCCATAAACTTCTCTCGGGTTTTCCAAACGCCTCCGTTTTCATCTTGCGTGAAGGCATTGTTTGCCCTGAGGGTGAGATAAATTGTGGATGCGAACACGGTGGCTGAGGGCGGTGTCACCTAGTGAGCTGTTTGCAGAACTCAGGTGTGCCTGGAAGATGAGAAACGCTCTGGCGGGGCTGCCCTGGGACCGAGGTGGACCTGGGGTTTGATTTGCATTTTCTCCGAAAATGTTCGCATATACCGCCGCTCAGTCAGCGTGACTAATCACAAGATTTAATGGCCTTAAACTGCTCACTAAGGGCCCAATTCAATTAAAAAATGTCCTGCGGAAGCCATGAATAATCAATCCTCTTGTCTTCGCTTTTTCAGGCTTCCAGAGGCTTCCGCCGAGCAGAGGCCGAATGGGTTTTTCCTTTTCTAATTTTTTTTATCGACGTGGGCCTCGGACCCCCGCCCACGCGAACGCACGCCGCGGTCCCCAGCGTCCGCCCCACTTCGCACGGGAGCCGCCGGGGTTCCCGCCGCGTCCTGCACTAACCCCGGGGAAATGCCTTCTGCTTCCTCACCAGTTCGACAGGCTCTGGAGCGAGATGCCCATCAACGCCAAGGGGAGGCTGCGGTACCCGGACTTCCTGAGCAGGTTCGGTTCGGAGAAAGTGGCCACCCCACCCGCCACTGGCGACTCGGCCAAGGCCCACAGAGGGAGCAGTGTCCCCGAAGTCTCGGACGGAAACAGATCTGCAGCGTCGTCGCCCACTCGAGACCTGAAGGCGGCGACAAAGCAGCGGAGCCACCCCTGTGTGAGTCCTCCACCCCCCGCGTCGCCCGTCGCCCTGTACCAGGCCCACGAGTCCCCCTGGGCGCTGGGCCCTCACGTTCCCACGGGCTGTGGGTGACTGAGAAGGTGGCACAGCATGAGCCTGGGGCAGGGGTCCCAGGCGAGGAGCCCCCTGGTGGCTCCTTAGCATTTGCCTGGAGGATAATGGCGGGCGGGGGAGGGGGGCGGGGCGTGGCAGGTGGAAGGGGAGGGAAGGTGGCGGCGGCTGGGGCACTTGTGTGCGTGCTGGGCAGGAGACTGTCACTGGCAGGAAAGCCAACGCGCCAGTGGTAGGTGCCACTGTGCGCAGAGCTCCCCACCCTGAGCCACAGGTGAGTCTCATCACCCGCTTTCTACAGGGGAAGGTGCACGGGCCCTAAGAGGCGTCCTCGGCCAGACACCGAGAGACCCAATTTCGACCCCAGGCCTACCCTGGCGCAGGGCCGAGCCGCCGGCCTGGGGTTGGGGGCGGGGCCGCCTCGCGGGGCGGGGCCCTCGCCTCATCTCCGAGGCCGGCACGTCTGGGGGAGGTGCTGAGGGCTCCCCACCACGCACATACCTGCTTCCCGCGTGGCGAGTGCTCTGAGACGGCGGGCAGCACCCGTTCCCGGGTCGATACATCCCTGCCGCACACCCACGACACACCGGGTCCTTTCCAGAGCCGAGTGTGGACAAAGGGCCCTGCCCTCGTGGAGTTTACGCGCTCATGGGGGATGATGGGCAGGAAACAGGAAACGTAGGCACGTATTTGGCAAGTTAAGGATGATGAGTAGAGCAGAGTGAAGGAGGGGTCAGGAGCACCCTTAAATGTCCACGTCCCAATCCCCGGGACTGTAACATGTCACCGTACGTAGCAAGGAGGAGTCGAGGTTGCACATGGAATTCAAGTTGCCAGTCAGCTGGCTTAAGACAGGGTGATCCCAGCGTATCCAGGGGCCCGAGGAAGTCACAGGAGCCCGTAATGGTAACGACGGAGGCAGAGGGTCCTCTCAGAGAGACGTGATTTGAGGACAGTTCGGCCTGACATTGCCGGCTTTGAAGACAGAGGAAGGGGCCACAGCCAAGGACCGTGGGGGCCTCTAGACTAGAAAGCGAAAGGGGTGGATTCTCCCCTCGAGCCCCCAGGAGGAGTGCAGCCCTGCTGGCACCTCGAGTTTAGCTCGGCAGGACCCATTTCCAGCTTCTGACCTCCAGAACTGTAAGAGGATAAACGTGTGTTGCTTTAAGCCACCACGTTCGTAGATCCGTTACGGCAGCCTCAGGAAGCTCACAGGCCTGGGGGAGGTGGGGTGCCATAGGACCTTGGCTTCCACCCCACGGGCGATGGAGCCTTGCAAGTTTTAGGCAGAGGCTTACAGGGTCTGCAGGGCTCTTTGAAAAGACTGCTGAGGGTGCCGTGCATTGAAAAGAGGCTGCAGGTGGAGTTGGGGGCCGGCAGGGCTCACGGAAGTGGGGGGGGGTGCGGGGAGGAGGCTGCGGCAACGATGCAGGCAAGAGGCACAGGTGGCTCAGAGCGAGGTGGGCAGGGGAGCTGGTTGCTGGTGGTCAGACACTGGGTGCGTCTCCCAGCTCATTCCCTGACAGATTAGGTGTGGGGTTGAGAGGGAGGGAGGAGAGTCCAGGAAGACATCTGCGTTTTTTGGCCTGAGCAGCAGGAAGAAGGGTGTTATCGGCAGCTGAGATGGGGCGGCACAGGTGACGCAGGATTGGGCAGGAAGAGCAGGAATTCAATTGAGTTCGTCACCATATTGGATAACCACGTGTCGAGGAGGCGTTCAGGGGGCTGTCTGGGCCAGATCCAATTCATTCCCTGTTTTTAAATGGAAAACACAATTAAACAAAACAAGAAGAGTCTCAGACTTGGTCCACAGAATTCCAAGGCGTCAGATGTTCCGGGGGTGAGTCCGGCAGTAGACGTCCCATGCACATGACAAGCGACTCCCTTTCTTTGATAAGACTCTTCCTCTGGTGAAAAACATGTCCTTGTCACCACGTACGCACCAATAATATATTTAATTAGCATCTCTATATTTGAATCTTGGCTATATGTTTTCAAAATTATTTTAGTTACAATGATTTGGCACCAACATAGCCCCTCAACGAAAGTAAAAATTCAATGGCAAAATCACCATCTATGTTTTGATTTTCATTTTGTTTCTGAAGTAATACTGCCTGTGTCTTTGTGAACCTCAAAACCCAAGTCCTATCTGTATTGATTATCATTATCATCATCATCATCGTCGTCGTTTATTATTACTTCCGCTTACGCCTCTGATCACATGACCGTTTTCTCTCCGTCCTGCCAGACCCCCGCCGGCACAGCGGCTTTGCCGGGCACCCCACCCTTGCAGAACCTCGAGCCCGTGGAGAACAAGCTCCGGAAGAAAATCCAGGGCTGCTGGCGACAGTTCCTGAAGGAATGCAAAGCGAAGGACGTGCACAAGCACGGGGAGATCACCGCGTCCGAGTTTCTGGGTTCGTTCTGGTTCTGGTCCCTTGGTAATAGTGTCACTTCCTGGCGCCAGGTCATTCCCGCACTGGAGGCGAGGGAGGGACACAACAGGGAGCCAGCCTGCCGGGAGCATCTGGGGGGCCGTGGCAGGACGGTACCTCGATCAACACCGGTGTCTTGAGGGACAAGGACTCTTGACACGTCCCGACCCCCCCCACCCCCAAGCAAGTCGCACCCCATGACGGAGTCAGCACATAGTGCCTTTTGGCATTAGAAAGCAGACTTGATTGTGCTCTCTGGGCAGAATGTAAAAGGCAACAGACGGACAGTCGAGGGAGGTGGGACGGGCAGAGAGCAGGGGACTCGCGGGCCTGCCCCCCGCCCAGCTCACCTCGGCATCCGCGCTGCCGCGGAGTCGCTTTTCACGATGTCGCACTTTGATAAGCTTTTCAGATTAAACCAGTTGGATTTATACTTCCAGGAATCGATGCATACCGTTTATGCAACATTTTAATTACAGGAAAATAAATCTGACCAGGTTATACCTCGGCTAAAAGCCCCTCACCTCCCCGCTTCTTGATTGATACGTAGACCCAGAAAATGCTTTTCCCGAGAACCTCCAATATTGACATAAATTACTTTTACGATAACCATGGCTCAAAAATATACAAACAAAAGGAGGTGTGAGCTCTTTAAGTGAACAGTTCCTACCAAAAAAAAAAAAAAAAACCACATAAATTAAACATCAGAACATGAAATCAGTAATAATCAAATGTTGTTACATTGATTTAATGTGACAGGTTTTGCCAAAGCCAGGTAACCAAAGTCGGTTTCAATGCATGTTTGAGTTGCACCTGTTTTTTAGTTAATTCATTTGATTTTGAGCAAGATAAACCTTATCTTCTGTCATTGTTAGTATCAGCATTGCTGGGTTTTCTTCTTTTTAACCGTGAGCTCATTTAAGCCACCAACCCGTTATTCTGGTAGGCTTGTCTGACTTAGAAGTGCACCCAAAATTCAATACTGTAAAACTAAACTTAATTTTCAAAAGTCATTCCGTATTTTCTATGCACCGCTGATGGCAAGCTAGAGCATCAAAAGCCCTTACTGGAAAGTTCCTTCCGGGCCCCAGCACCGGCCCCTGCAGAGGCACAGGAACCTCTGCACACACAAGGCTGCATCTTCTGCCTGCGCTTGGTTGACGGTACCGTTTCTATAAAGCCCACTTGCATCGGCTTCTCCTCATTCACCCCAACAATTAGCTTGAGATTCCGCCACTCGACTCTTCGTTGCTTCCGTGATGTCCAATGGAAGTCTCCGTCGCTCACTTCAGACGGAAACCTTATCCTACCGCAGTCTCTCTTAAAACTGAGTTGTCACTCCGAAAGCGGCTCGGGCTTTATAACTGGTCAAAGGAGCGAGCGTGCCTGCTAGCGAAGTGAGGGCCAAGTGTTGATATTCCGACGCTGACACGTGCCGACCTCAGCGCAGCCGGGAGGCCGCACCAGCGGGGCATCGACGTGGTCCTACTCAGAAAGCCACGCATTAAGGGTGGTCTGTGTGTGTCACGATGGGTTTCGTATATCTTAGATTGTCACTGGCATGAAAACTCAACATGTGTGAGTTCGAGCAGCCTAACAGGCTCTGGAGAGAACACCTCCAAGGCCAGGTTGAGAAATACTCGGCCAGAGGGCCGAGCCTGAATCCCCGCCCTGCAGTCCAGCCGCGGCTCCCATCCACTGGTCAACCCTCCCTGGCTCTGCTCCCCACGCCCGCTCTTCAGTCCCAGCCCCCACAGGACATTGTCCACACTGCCGTGACCACAGCACCGGTGCCCATGCAAAAGCGAGACAGCAGACAAACGCCAGGGCCCCCATCCGGATGTGGGGGTCCCCCTCCCTCCTTACCACACTTAGTCTGCCATTTGCCTGTCTGTTTCCACATCTGTCCAGCCGCCGAGCCTGTGAAGCAAGGGCCTGAGGCAGAGAGAGCCTCTCAGCAGTGATGAATGAATGCACGAATGCGTGCGTGAGCGAATGAATGAATGGCCAAGTTGCCACCCACTGAACTGACACTTTTGTCTTTAGCTCTTGTGGAGAAATTCAACCTGGACATAAGCAAAGAGGAGCGTCAGCAGCTTATCGTGAAGTACGACCTGCGGGACAACGGGAAATTTGCTTATTGCGACTTCATTCAGAGCTGTGTCCTCCTGTTAAAAGCAAAGGAGACCTCGCTGATGCAGAGGATGAAGATTCAGAACGCACATAAAATGGTATGGAAACCTTTCTTAGGAAATTGGCGGGTCTGGGGTTAAAAGGAACTCTTACGTTCTTCTCTAATGATCGCAAATTCCGATCATCTCGCTTCATACAAAAGGTGGACGCAGTGGCTGCGGAGATTCTAGGAGGGGCCGCTGGCCAGTGAGGACCCACTTGTCAAATGTCTCTCGCCTCTCTGCCACCTCCTCATGGACCCCCTACTCAGATTTTCTCTAGACACACATGTGCACATATATGTATATGTATGTACACATGTGACATTGTGCATGTCACACTTCCGTGATATCGCATGTGTACGTACAGTGTATGTGTGTCACACTTGCATGATATGCGTATGTCCATACACGAGTTGCGTGTGTATCACTAGTGCGGTATACGTATGTGCGCTCCCAAGACGTGTGTGTCTGTCGCTCAGTCCCTTGCTGCCCTCGCTCCTCCGTTACGTAAAGGCCCTTCCAGCCCTGGGCAGTCTTCAGGTGAGCACGCGACAACTGGGACCTGACCAGCGGGCCCAGAGCTGGCCACCTGCTCCGTCAGGGAGCGCGTGTCTCGGCGGCCAGAGCTGCGGCTGAAGTTGAAGTCTCCATCAGGCTTTGGGACACTGCGAACAGCTCGAAATTCTCCTTCTTGGAAAAGCTTTAAAGATTCCCCTCTGGAGCCCCCGAAGGGTCTGGAGCCTGCAGGCTGGGGTCCGGTAGCATGGGTCCTCGCCTCTCACATGCATTCGGTGGCAGACACCAATTCTCGTGGCACTTCGCAGGGTGCCCAGCGACGGGCGTGTGGCCTGCAGTCAGTCAGCGAGCTACCAGAATGGCCCACCGGGCTGTCGGCCAGTCACTGAGAGGCCAAAGCGGGGGCGGGGGAGGCACCTCAGCTTGAACGCGACGCGTATTCACTCACCCACCTGACTCACTCACCCACCTGACTCACTCACCCACCTGACACAGGCCGGACCCCTCTCCGGGAGTGGCGGCAGGTCAGAGACCTCTAGTCTTTCTTGCGTGAACAACACCCTCACTGGTTTCTCTTTGTTTCTCGGAAGAGGAAGAAGAACCTTAAGGGGCTTAAACAACAGGCGGAGGGCGCTGCTCTTCTGGGTTTTTACCTTTTTCCTCCATCGCTTGTGATTTTATGATTCTCGCTCACCCAGCTCAACCACAGCGTTTTCACCGACTCGCCGTTCTTGAGTCTTTCTCAAGCGTGAAGGGAAACAAGCGGCTTCGTGTTCGTGATCCATCGTCTGTAACCCCAGGTTAAGCTACACAGAATTAAATAACAAGTCCGACGGGCATTGTCGATTTGGGGAACAAACTCAGCTGATTCCGACCCCAGGGATGTGGGGCAGACCTGGACAGCCCCCAGCCCCGTCCCCTGCCCTGTCCCCACCGTCCCCCCCGACGGCAGCAGTGAGGGCGGGGTAACCCAGCCAACTATTTCTTCCATACAGTATCTTTCTGCACGGTGATATTTGTAATTTTGTGCAAGTATCATCTTAGCATCAAAGCCTCAGACCAAGTGAACAGCAGAAAGTCTTAAAATCAAGACAATTCTTTCTCTGCTCAGTTTTCTGCGAGCAGAGAAAAGGCTGTCCTCGTGACATCTTTAGGGGACCCAGGCTCATAGTTGGAGAATCACGGAGGCGGCACGGCCTGTGAGGCCCCTGCCAGCTCTGGCCTTCCCCTGCCTCGCTGGGCCTCAGTTTCCCCTGCTGTAAGTGACGGGAGATCTGTGGCTTCTAAGAGCCTTTGAGAGGTGGCCCGTTAAGAGCACCCTAGGCCCCCTTTGGAGCCCTCCCCTGCGCAGGGGCGCCCTGTTCCCAGACCCACTGCTCGTCCTCACAGAGCCGCGGAAAGGCAGGCCCATGAGCTGGGGCGGAGTGTCCGACCGAGACTGTGTCTCCAGGAAGTGGCAGGTGCCCTGGACGGCCCTGCCGGGAGCCCAGGCCCCCTGGCAGAGTCCCACACACTTCCCGTGGAAGGCTGCCTCGTGCCCCCGCTCCTTCTACCCCATACGTTGCTGGAGCCGCCAGCTACTCCGTGGCTCAGAGCCGCCCTGCCCCCATCCCCAGATCCCTGGCTGGGCGTGACTGGCAGGCAGCGCCACCCTCCTCCCCCGGGAGCCTTTCCTAGGAGACGGCCCCCCTGCCCTGCCTGGCCTTCCTGTCGCAGTCACATCCCCTCTGCTGTCTCTGGGCAGAGAAACTGAAAGAGCCATTTCTTTGCCTAGCTCTTCAGTGGCTCTCCCTGCAGGCTTCGGCAGCGTGGAAACACCCTCAGGGGCCGGGCTGGGTGTGGGGGGAGCAGGTGGGCACGGAATCCTTTCCCTGCCGGGCGTGTGGACCAGCCGATTGGGTAAAGTGGCAGCTCACGAAGTTATAGGGTATCTGGTGAGTTTCCATCATAGATGCTAAATGATATAAAAAATTGAAAGCAATTTAACTTCGTGCTAATTTGTTTTACGTAGTGCCACATTAAAATTAAACTTCGCGAAAACGTGTTACACATTATTGCCCACAGTTCACCTCTGTGGTACGCAGACGTGCTCCAGGGCTAAATCATGCTAAAACATCTTGTTTTCAATCTAATAGCACCTAAATGAAATAATCACAGTGTAGTGTACTGTCTAATTACTAGATATAATTACAACCTTGCAATTTTTTAAAAAAGCTCTGTTCGTTATAATAACCTACTAGAAGACCCAAACTGAAATCGCGGTGGCGAGGCCTGACAGCTGCTGGAGGCAGGGCCTGGGGCAGCCCAGATCCTGCCGCTTTGCCTCTCGAGCCTCCGTCCCTAACCCGTGAAATGGGGCTGCCGAGACCTTCCCTCCTCCCAGTGCGGGGCGGGAGGTAGAACTGAGGTGTCTTTCACAGCCCGCACATGGACCCTGATGAGCAGCCCGCATGGCAGTCGTGCCGATGCTGTGATGAGGTCTCCGTTGGTGGCGGGGAGCCCGCCCGAGGAGCACGGGCTGGGCAGTGAGAAGGAGCGGAATGGGAGTAAGGCCCAGCCCGGGGCTCACAGCCCGTGCTCCGCGCCCCGTGGGACCCGGGTCTGTCCGCTCCGTCCTGCTCGTTCCAACGCCCCGTCTCACTCCTCTTGTTTTTCCTTTTGATTCCAGAAAGAAGCTGGTCCTGAGACGTCTTCCTTTTACTCGGCGTTACTGCGCATTCAGCCCCAAATCGTGCACTGCTGGAGGCCGATGCGACGGGCCTTCAAGGCCTCCGATGAGGGCGGGACAGGGCTCGTGGGCGTGGCTGATTTCCGGAAGGTGAGCCAGCTCTTAGTGTCTGTCACCTGTGTAAACAGGGAGCAGGTGCCAAAAGTGCCCTGAAAGCCTCAAAAGAGGAGGACCTTGTCCCCTCGCCGGAGGCCCAGGTGTGAGCAGCTGCCCCTTACCTCACTTCCTTGGGCCCTCCAGGCTGTCAAAGGCTGAGACCCTTGCCCCTCACCTGCAGACCCCAGGTTCTCCTCCCTGAAGATCTCCAGAGCCCTTGGGGCAATCGCAGTGCAGACGCCTGAGCCCAGTGTCCCTTGGGGCACCACTGCTGCCGCCTCGGCTCCCTGGGCCCCACGCAAGGCCAGGCCTTCCGTGGCCTCTGCGGGGAGCCAGGACCTGCGTCTGCCTCCCAGGGCCACAGACAGGACAGAAACACTGAGGGGCTAAAGCGAGGCCCCAGTGGCCTGTGCCACTCAGAGGCCCGCAGACTCAGCCCCACCTCGTGGGAGCCCCTGATCCCCAGCTGCCCCCGTCCCGTGTGGCACGGCTGGCACACGCCCCACAGCAGCATTCGGCTGAGCCTCTCCCCTCGGCGAGGTCTGAAAGGGCAGCATCCTCGGCAGAAACATGGTCATGGGCAGCCATCTCACCATGGACACGGCTGTGACCACACCGTCCCTGGCAGCCACCTTACCGTGAACACGGCTGTGACCACACCGTCCCCAGCAGCCACCTCACTGTGGACACGGCTGCGACCACACCAGCCCCGGCAGCCACCTTACCGTGAACACGGCTGTGACCACACCGTCCCCAGCAGCCACCTCACTGTGGACACAGCAGTGACCACACCATCTCTGGCAACTGCCCTGTTTACGTGGGAGCGCCACCTTGCAGGGCCTTCGCTGTTTCTCCAAAGCAAAAAAATCGCCGCCCTCGAATGCCACTCAAAACTGCTGCCTTTAGAACATGCACAACACCGTGAGCTCCCTGCCCCTCTCTCCACCCCACCCAGCCGCCAAGGCTGAAAAACAATCGGGGTCTGGAACATTCCATTAAAAATCACATATTACAGCCAGAAAAAAAGACAAAACTCAGTCAAGACATCGAAGAGACAAAGGTTCTGACCTTAAAATGCACTTACAAAAAATTCATCCCTTGGGTCTATCTCTGCTTCAGCTAAAAACTTAAAGAGGAAAAAAGTAAAACATCTTTAATAATAACCCAGGAAGAATAACGGCAGTTGGCGGCGGGCGCGGGGACTGTGTCCACAAGCCGCCCGGGCGCTGAAGGGCGGGGGCGGCTCGCAGCCAGGCCTGTCCCCGGGTCCTCTGCCCACAGCCGTTTTCAGTTCACATTGTCTGTCTTTACCTTGGGGTCGAGTACAGTTCTCAGCCAGCCACTCTCCTTCAGCCTCCAGGCAAAGATGGGAGGGAAGTCATGTGAGGTTCTGTTAGGAATTTGGGTGGGCGACAGCGGGGGAGGGGCAGCAGAGCTAGAGTGGGAGACCAGATGGGGTGTCGGGGGCCCTTCCCAGTTATATATATGTATAATATTTATTTTTATGTACCTATCTATTAGGACTTGTTTCAGCTACATATGACAGCTAGGAAAAAATAACAGCAGCTTAAACAGTGGGAGTTTAATTCCCTCTCAAATAAAAGAAGTGTGGAGGCAGAAAGTCCAGCGCTGGCATGGTGGCTGGACAGTCACTGGGGACCTCACTGTTTTTGCTTGACCATCGTCAGCACCTGGCTTCCTTCCTCAAGGTTGCCTCATGGCCCAAGATGGCTGCCAGGGCCCAACCATCATTTCCGTATCCTCAGGCGGCAGAGGAAAGGGAGAGGAAAAGGGCATGCCCCTTTTCCTTAAAGGAGGCTTCCCAGATGTCCCACGTGACACTTAGGTTTACCTGGCCAGCTCCGAGAGTGGCTGAGAAAGGTCCCCTTTTAGCTGGAGACACAGCAGCCTAGAAGAAAATCGGGAAGGTGGTCGACATCAGGCAGGCGTGTCCCAAACTGCCGCAGGCTGCATTACCGCCAGGTCACGACAAGTCCCTGTGCCCTGCGCCCGCTGGCCCCGCCCTTCTCCATGGTTCCTGCCAAGTCCCCACCCTAGTTGCAGCCCTGTGGCCAATCCAGCTGCCCAGCGTGACCGTGCTGACAGCCTCACTGCACCCCATTCTCTTCCTGTTTCACACCCTCAGTGTGTGGGCGATGGGAGGGGGACAGGGCTGCCGGGGCTGAGGCTGGAAGTGAGGCGTAGCAACCGGGCACCCTCAGCCCCTGCGGCCTGCGTCCTGGCAGGCGCCGACCGCGGCCCTCTCTGTGCGCAGGTCCTGAGGCAGCATAGCATCAACCTCTCGGAGGAGGAGCTCTTCCACATCCTGGAGTACTACGACAAGTCACTGTCGGCAAAGATCTCCTACAACGACTTTCTCCGGGCCTTCCTCCAGTAGGTGCCCACCAGGGGCCTGTCCCCAACACCAATAAAATCATATGATCCAGGAGTTTTCAGGAACTTGCTGGAGAGTCTCCGGAAACAAAGCGCGTGCCCACCACGAGCCTGTGTCCTTCCCGTGGGGGGCCCCTGGCTGCGTGCTGCCCCGGCTCCAGCATTAGGGACGGCCTCTCCAGGTGGCCTTGAAGTCGCCCCCTGAGCCTCGGGACCCCTCCCTAGTCAGTTCGAGCAAATAAAAATGTTAGCCTTTACAGAAATGATTCTTGAGACTTTAAGAGAATCACCAATGCTAAAATACTTAAAACTCAGAATTTCTGGAGGTTATATTCGTGAGAGCCTGCTGGGTGCCTGAGGGACACCAGAGGCTCCCTCCAATCCACCGGGAGCGCGTCCCCCTCCTGGATCATATCTGTGTCCCTGCTGGGCTCCTCCACACTGCGGCCGCCTCTCTGCCCCCCAGGGGCTCAGACACCAGGCTGACATGCCCCAAGCGGCCCTCGTCTAAGTCAAGCCCCATCATGCTTCAGGTGGGGCACAGCCGAGCTGGCAGCTGATCAGAGCACCCACCAGGGACCTTTCCAGGAGGGACCCTTCCTTGGACATGACGGCGTCTGAAAGCTAGGAGGGGTTTTAATTCACTGCAATTCGTTCCACCTATTGTGAAGCAGAGGGAAAGGAAACAGAGTTTACTGCCTTGTGGAAGGTTCTGGAAGGAACTGAGGAGAGGAAGTAGCAGCGCTGCCCCTGAGCCCCGGGCTCGCGGGGCCTGGCAGTGGCTGTGGCTGCTTCTCCCCTTTCTGGTGCCTTCAGTGAGTCCTCAGGAAGCAGGAACAAGAGCTGACTGCCCTGCGGGCCCCCGGCTCTGCTGGCCATGCCAGCCCACCCTGTCCCACCAGCCACACTGCCTGGCAAAGTAGAGTTTCCACCCCGTTGTAGAGATGGAGACACTGAGGCCAATTCAGAGGGAGGGAAGGAAGCACCGTGGGACATGTGGCAGTGGCGGCTGGCCTGTGCCCATCAGCCAAATTCCCCCAACCTGGCAAGGGAGACATCAGGATGAGGCTGATGGGGGCTCTGGCAGGGCCATGTGGTAGGGACACCCTCAGCCCCAGAAGCTCTTCCTTCTCGGGGACGAAATCCCTTGGCCCCTGTGCAACTTACCTCTCTAGACTGAACCTCTGTTTCTGCATCTACAAAATTAAGATAATGACATGCCCTGACTTCCTCTTGGGACCATCCATCCTTGGGCCCAGCCAGCCAGCACACATTCCATGCCTAGACCAGGCACCAAGCACAGACCTGCTCCCTAGACCTCCCAGGACTTAGGTCACAGGCAATCTAAAGAGAAGGGGGGTCAAGACTGATTGGGGAGCCCCCCAGTCTATGGGAGCCCAAGGAGGCTCAGCCTTAGAGCTCGAAGCCTGGAACCAGACCTCAGGACAAGACTTCAGCAAGGGGTTGAGAAGGGGTGGCTCCAGTGCCCTCAGCCAGGAGGCCCAGAGGTCTCGGCCGTTGCCTGCAGGCATCGCCATGCTCCCACATGGGACCGCCTCACTTTCTTTTCCATGGGTCCTGTGTCCCAATCAGGTATCAAAAATGAAAAACCCACTAATAGAGATAAAGGTTGCCTTTGACAGACTCATTAGGAGATTCAACATCATCGAGGAAAGAATGAGTGAGCTTGAAGATAACAAGTATGCAAATTGAAATGCAAAGGGAGAAGAAGTGGAGAAATTTTTATGATTAGCAAAATATTTTTCAAAAGTAAGGAAAAATAATTTTATAGAATCAGAAAACTTGAAGATGGGTGAATTGAGATTATTCAGTCTTAAGAACAGAAAGAAAAAATAAAGGAAAATGAGCACAGCCTCAGAGATCAGTGGAGCACCATTAAGCACACGCACACACGCACACACACACTGGAAGTCCCAGGAGAGGAGAGAGAAAGGGGCAGAGAGAATATTTGGAGAAACGAAAGCCAAAAACTTCCCAAATTTGAAGAGAGACACAAATCTATGCGCCCAAGAAGTTCAACAAACTCGCAGGAGGGTAAACTCTTTGAGAGTAAACATATGGCCATCTCGATATATGCAGAAAAAGCACTTGACAAAATTCAGCATTAATGCATTAAAAAAAAAAAAACTTTCAGCAAACTGGGAACAGAAAGAAACTTCCTTAACTGAATAAAAGACATTTACAAAAAAAACTACAGCTAACACGATAGTGAACGGTGAGAGACTGAATGTTTTCCCTCAGATCACGAACAAGGCAAGAATGTCCTCTGTCGTCTCTTTTAATCGACGTCGTACTGAAAGTCCTAGCCAGTGCAATCAGGCAAGAAAACTGAAAAGGAAAAAGAAAAATGGAAAGGAAAACGTAAAATGTCTCTTTGTAGATGACATGGATGTCCATCCACATAGGAAATTCCAAAGAACCTACCAAAAAAGCTAACTAATACAGACGTTACTCATGTGCCTACGTACCTACAGGGAACAGCTGGGGTGAGAAGTTTTTTTAAATACTATTTTACTACCTGCCCCCCGCCCAATTCAACATCATTGAGGAAAGAATGAGTGAGCTTGAAGATAAGTATGCAAATTGAAATGCAAAGGGTATAAATTAGGTGCTCAGGTATAAATTAACAAAATGCATACAGGATCTGTATGATGAAAAATGCAAGCATGAATGAAAGAAATCAAAAACCTAAATGAGTGGAGAGAAAAATAATTTTCATGAATTGTAAGACTCAATGTTTGTTAAATATCACTTCTCTCCAGTTTGATCTGTAGATTTTATGCAGCCCCGACCACAATCTCAGCAAGCTTTATATACGTCGAGTTAACGAAAAAATGTACACGAAAAGGTAAAGGAGCTAGAATAGCCAAAAACAGTTCTGAAAAGGGGGACAAATTAGAGCACTCACATTATCCAATTTCAAGATTTACCCACAAAGTTATAATAATAGAGTACGATATTGGTCATTAAAAAAAAAGAAAGAAAAAAAAGACATACATATAGATCAATGGAACAAAATAGCCCAGAAATAAACCCACGCAAATATAGTCAACTGATTTTTGACAAATGTGCAAAGGCAAGTCCGTAAAGAAATAGTGTTCATATGCAAAAACATGAAACTTGACACATACTTCACACCTTGTACAAAAATTAACTCGAAATGCATTATAGACCTAAATGTAAGACATAAAACTATAACACTTCTACAAGGAAACAGCAGAGGAAATCTGCATACCCTTGGGTTTTCTAGATACTATACCGAAAGCACAATCCATAAAAGAAAAAAAAACTGAAAAATTGGACTTCGTCAAAATTAAAAACTTTTGCTCTGAGAAACCGTTAAGAAAACAAAAAGACGATCCATAGACTGGAAGAAAAGATTTGTAAATCACATTTTCAGTTAAGGACTTGTACCCAGAGCATTAAAAACTCATAAAAACAAGCAACCTATTAAAAAAAAAAAAAAAAAAAAAAAACAAGCAACCTCATCTTTTATGGAAGGGGACAAAAGATCTGAACAGACACTCCACAAAAGAATACATGTGAATGGCAAATAAGTATGTGAAAGGATGTTCAACATCGTTCATCACTAGGGAAACAGAAATTAAAACCATGATGAAATACAACACAGGCCTACGCGAATGGCTAGAACTTTTTAAATGGACAACGCCAAATTCTGATGAGGATGTGGGCTAACAGGAATACTCACGCGTTGCCAGTGGGATGGCAAAATCATACAGCCGTTTTGGAAAATGG